CCCCAAAACCCCAAAACCCCAAAACCCCGAATGATCTATTCTAGAATGATAAAAGGTAAACTAAATTAAAAGAAAGTTTTAAATAGTGAAATAAGTTAAGTCAAGTTTCCTCCATTGATAAAATTAATAATTAATTCCAAGCTAAAACAATAGTAATAGATAATTCGGAGCGATAAATATCATACTTAAATTCGATATAAATTATCAATCAATAAAAATAACTATGTTCAGAAGCCGCAACTTATCAAATCTAACCACCTTTTCAAAGGATTTCTTGTATGAAAATGCTAATCATCATATTGATTCAGAAGATGAGCAAATATTAAAAGGTCTAGATATTCTAGTTGAAAAATTAACATCTGGAATCGAGCTAGATTGAATTACTCTAATGTTTAATGATAAATACCTGGAGACCCTATACTAATAACATATTCTAGATAAAGTCAAAAAATTTGGATTTCTGAATATGATAGCTTGCAACTTGCTATTGGCAGTATTTATGGTCTTTATTGTTTGGGAGAAGATAGAATAACAAAGATGGATTTGTTTGATTTACTAACCTCTTTCATGTTTCATTATCGGAGTCTCATTTGCTTTAATGTACATCATGAGCTAAAAGTACAAGGCTTTCAGTTTAGTCTATGGAATCACTGTTTCTTTTGTTTAAGCTTTAACTATTGAAGGTTCCTATTGGGGATATATTGATAATGTGGGAATCACTGATTCTCTATTTCTTTATCTAATGGGATTGGCAGCTCTGTCTAAATTAATGTATTGCAAGAAATAATAATTAATATTCCAAATCCTATTTGTTTTATACACTATTATCAGAAGCTGGTACTATTTTCAGTATGTCTATCCTTACTTAAGATATCTAACACTGTTAGTTTTCGGTAATGCATTCATCTATTTTATGTCTAGAGATGCGATGGAAAGAGATAGAGAAATATTCCTTCAAAAGAATAATAAAAAAAAACTCTTGAAGCTATTTCATACATTAATTAAATCGCACCATGATGGAATCACAATAACTTATGGCGAAGAAATCTTATATTTCAATTAATAGTCAGTAAAAATATTTTCCACTGATTAAAACGTTATAATCGATGAATCTTAGAAAGCTTTAGATTTGGTAGCATAAACCTGCCCGATTGAGGCATAAAATATTCGCAACAGAATGATAAAGAGAATGCAAAGCTATAAGGTGAAAATAGAGAAAATACATTCTTCAATAAGAACAACAGCAACAAATAATTAAGTTGCCCTAGATGATGAAGAGAATAAACATTTATCTCTTTGGGACTATATTCAAAACTTTAATCTGAGCTATCAAGTTGGATTATTGAGATGCAGAAATATAGATTGGAATGAGAATGCTCTATATTTCAAAGAAAGGCAAAAATCAGCATAACAGTAAGATTCAAAGCGCCTTTAAGTCTTCTCAAATATTATTGACAATGAGAATCAATTATTTGTCGTAACAACAATAAGAGATATGTCTCACTGGATAGAACTAGAAAGGTAAAGACATATATCATTAGCAAAGACTCTTGCATTCGCTTCAGCAGCACATGAGTTCAGAAACCCTCTTGGAGCAATGATTAATTCCCTAGAATTAATGAAAAACTATATTGATATGAGTATGGCAGAAAAATACTTCTTTACAGCAAAAAATTGCGCCGATATTATGTTGTACCTTGTTAATGACATAATAGACTATGGATAAATTGAATCAAACTCTATTATCATCAATTCCTAAAAAGTTAATCTTGGAAATTTGATGTAAGAATGCATTTAAATACTCAAATTCAGAGCAGACCTCAAAGGAATCGAGGTAAAATTAGACTTCTAATAAGAGTTTCCAATAGAAATTGAGACTGACATTGGCAGAGTAAAATAAATCCTAATAAATCTACTTTCAAATGCAATTAAGTTTACCAATGTTGGTTATGTCTTACTAAGCTGTCATACCAATGGATCTATTAATGGTATAGAATAATCTGATGGAAATATTTATCTTGAAGTATAAGATACAGGATTGGGCATTGAGTAGACTGAAATGCCAACTCTATTTTAGGCTTTTAGTAAAAATCTTAAAAAGCGTTACGTAAACTAATAAGGATCAGGTTTAGGACTTTTAATAAGTAAAAATTTAGCCAAAGCATTAAATGGGGATATATTGGTTAAGTCAAACAGTCCTCAGTAAGGTTCGACATTCACTTTAGTTTTGCCTTATCTCAGTAAAAAGCAAAACACCGATAAATTATCTTATTTGTTCGAGAAATCTAACGAGGAAGAATCCTAAATTAATGAGGATTAACATTAAGAAGAAACTTAATTTATGGACTATAATGTTACAGAAGAAGAAGAAATAAGTAACAAAAATAATAAACTAAATTAAGGGCCTAAGAGAATGAGATTGTTAAAAACAAATGAGCCTTGTGCTGAATTTGACACTCCTCCAAGAATAACAACAAAAAGTGTCATGTATGATTACTCTTTTGATTCATTGCATTGGAATAAAGTCTCTCAAAAATACAGATAAGATATTCTAGAAGATTAAAAAGATGCTATGGTCAACTTTTACAGCTAGAGTTATAAATCAATTCAGATCTAATCAAATGATTAGTTTCCAATATAAAGTGAACCTCTATATTAATGCGAATGCTCTTAAGTCTTAATAGTAGATGATGATCCATTCAATATTATAGCACTTGAGGGAATGCTTAATCAGCTCAATATAACATAGGTTGAAAAGTGCTTTGATGGTTAATCAGCTTTGAATAAGATTACTATTAACTTAAAATCTGATCCAATTTCAACTTTTGATGATCTAGAGATTCAAAAACATAGATTATGCGAACATCACAGACCTTATAGACTGATTCTTATTGATAATCAAATGCCATTGCTCACAGGATTCTAGGTTATATAAAAAGTAAGATCAGAGTATTAAGATATTATAACAAAATATGGAGTTAAGATAATTATGATATCAGGTGACTATGATTTAATTGAAAATAGGGAATATTAGAGAGCTTTTGATTATCTTTTATAAAAGCCCTTGTCCTTTTTAAAATTGAAAGACATACTAAAAAGAATTGGGTTTAATCAATGATTTTGTAATTTTTATTAATAAATATGGATAATCTAGGCAAATTAAAGCCTATGATAGTTAATTTTATTTTCAATTATTAATTTTAGATATGATAATCACATCGCGGGGTTTTGGGGTTTTGGGG